TTGGAAGGAGCGTGCGTTTTAAGTGTCTTTAGGGTGTGTTGTAGCCGTGGAATGGATTGTGGCGGATGTACCTAAAAGGCAACCAACCGATGTACGACCGTTGTCATTCGACGTTCAACTCGCATGTCTCATCCAAGCTGGTTGACGTGGCCACTTGTTTATGACGATGATTTAGCAGCCGACCCCATGGCTGTCTAATAAGATATCCGCAGAATGTTGAATTTATTCGTTCAAATAAGGAAAAGGCTAAAGCCTTCTTCGAGCTTTTCCATTTAAATTCTGCATACGTAAGCGTAATAACTAAATATGACAATAAAGGAAGTCCTTTTGAGCGCGCCGTTGGTTAGCTCCATGCTGCCCTCGCCCTCAGTTCTGACCGGTAAGGTTCAGAGTACAGCATGAAATTCTACTCACTGCTAGCATAAGACTCTATTGGTCCGTGTATACGCACCGTTTGCCTGCATTTGCACTTCGGGGTTCGGGGCATGCGCCCACCGCGGCCCGCATTTTTCCTCACACACTACCCATCGACCGCCAAATCTCTTTCTGAGGAATACTACCTATGTATCCTAGGTAATTTCCGGCCTCAGACGGCGGCAACGTTCCTGGAGCAGACGTTAACAGAGGCAAAGGCTCGCTCGGCCTGTGGTTCACGTCATGGGACTCCTGCGCCTCCCTTGTCACTATCGCTGGTGCCATCACAGCCGCAGACCAAGGTCAAGGCAGAGGAGGTCAGTCTGGGCTGTTCTCCCTTCCCTTTAATAGCCCGACAGGAAGTCGGCATCCGCGCACAAAGCACAATCCTCCTCCAACCCCCTCCTAACAGCCCGCACAGCAACCCATAACGCCACAACACAAATAACACTCGGCAGTCCTTATTCCTGATCTCCCCTGCCCTCCGAGCCCGCGCCTTTTTCTTAACTTTCAGCTCGATACGCCTGATATCGCTGTGTCTGCGACGGTGCGTCTTTCGCGATTCTTCTTTTGTGTTGCCAGAGCACTTGATGATCTTGCTGGGACGGCTTTCTTTTCGCCGTTTTGATCTAGTGTTTGACATGTATGTATGTATGTATGTATGTATGTATGTATGTATGTATGTATGTATGTATGTATGTATGTATGACTTAGATTACACTGTGGGCCGCGAGAGCCGGGGGCCGAAGCCGAAACACAGCGCAAGGGTTTGGAGCACACAGCACAAGTCGGTTAGTCTTGTGTGCTCCCGACGATGTATGTATGTATGACGTATGAAAGCTCAATGAAATTACCGACGGACCTCTCGGCAGGTCGGCGCACTGAGGAGCATGGCCTCCAGGCACCTAGGACAGTTGCACCAGGCGCCGCCGTCGCCGTACGTGCCGCAGCACCCGCCGCTGCCGTCGCGCTGCCTCTCCACGCCGCCGATGCGGCGGCAGCAATCCCTCCTCCAGACGGCACCTCCACCGCCGCCACGCACACCCTCACTCCGACCGCAGCCGCCGCCGCTGTCGTTGGAGCCATCGGGGCGGGAAGTGACGCCGCCGCCGCCACCCGCTGGCGGCGGCGCTGCCGTCGGCACCGCCGCCGTCGCATTGACTCCACGCGCTGGTGGCCCTGACTCACCAGGGCCGGCGGCGCCAGCCGCCGCCAGCGGCAGCGGCGGCGCCGCCAGCGGCTTCGGCAGCACGGTCGACGGCCTGAGTCTGGTGGTCTCCTTACCCACAGAGGACGTACACCCGTACGGCTCAATCACAGGTTGCAGCTCCCATCCGCTCTTCGCCTCATATCGTATGCCGACGTCTCCCCCCACGCTGCCACGGCTTGTCCTAGCGGCGCCGCCGGCGCCGCCGCCGGCGCAGTGGGACGATGCTCCGGCGCCTGACGCCACAGCGCCGGCGGAGATGCCGGGGGGAGCCAGCCCCGCGCGGACGCCACGATTAAGTGGAGGCGTGAGCTCGCACGCCTTCCGTACGCCGCCGCCGCTGCAGCCGTTTGCGCCGCCAGGGCCTTCTGGGGCTCTGGCGGCGCCGGGGTCGTCTCCACTTCCCGGAAGCTCCCGCCGCTTCACTACTGCCTTGTCGCCCTCGTCTCGCCCCCACACCAGTCTCTCAGTTCAAGAGCTAAGCCTTCCCAGGCCGGGCAAGCATCTTGGCTCCCGCTCACCGACCCGTGGGTCATGGACGCCGCTCATGAATGTCAGCTGGGCCGGCAGCGCCAATGGAAGCGTTATCGGTTCCAGCGTCACTGCAGCTGGTGGCGGAGGCGATGGCGGAGGCGGCGGAGCCCCCGCCGCCGCCGTCGCTGCCAGTACGACTGCCGCTTCTTCTTCCCCGAGCCCCAACGGGGCGGCACCAAGGTTCCAACACACAGCTACGCGGTGGGCGTCGATGGCGTCATCACCCGCCGCGGGTACGACAGCAGGCGGTGCGCAATGGGGATCTGACAGCTCGGCGCGTACGGCAGGCATCAAGGTCACACGTGGCATGTTGTACAGCGTCTTTCAGGTAGGTACGACAGGAACGCTCGCGAACATCAAAACGCATATTGCCGGTGGCGGCATGCGTGTAGTACGTGTCGTACGCACCGATAAGCTTTTGCACATCTCCTCTTGGGACCTTACGGTATCGAATATGATGTGTGTGTGTGTGTGTGGTTGTTACAATGGGCTCTAGACTTAGGAAGAGTAGAGCCAGCGGGCCAGCTGGCCGTGCATTACTGCACACTGCACACTGTACCTGACACGAGAATACAATGATGGTGGTTGTACGACGGAGGTTGGGGTTTTTTGAAGCCCGGCGCTAGGGGGCCCCTCAGGCAAGCCATCCCATGCCGCCTAACTACTGAAAAAACAGTGCATTATCTCCATTAAACCGAAAGCTAAAGCCAATAAGAAGCAGAGTCAGTCTGTCAGTCAGTCTGTCAGTCAGTCAGTCAGTCGTTTTAGACCTGAGCCCTGCTGCGATGTGTGTGTCCCTCATGTGTCCCTCGTGTCCTGTTCCGCCCGCCGTACACCTCCTCGCTGCATCAGGAGCTCGACGAGTTCGATTCGGGTCGTCTGACGTACTCGGCCTTCGAGCAGGCGGCCTGCAGGATCGGCATGCGACCCGCCCAGGCCAAGCGGCTGTTCGAGCAGTGGGTATTACTAGGTGCCCAAAACACACCTATCACACACGCGCTCTTGCTCGCACTTTACCGTGTACATACATACATGTATATATACATACATACATACATACATACATACATACATACATACATACATACATACATACATACATACATACATACATACATACATACATACATACATACATACATACATACATACATACATACATACATACATACATACATACATACATACACCCGCACACCATGTCAATAACCTGTCACCGATGCCAGCAGACGCCCCCCTTCCCCCGCACGCACACTCATGTACACACACACACACGCGCGCGTTATACACGTTCCTGTAGCCACCCGGGGTTT